CTGTGGTGTATAATGTCGTGGACTTGATTGTGATGCTCTCAGATATACTGTGGTGTATGAAGACATAAATTTTATAACTGGTTGATACTTTTGTTTATACAGAATTAAAATAATGCAGAACATTGGCGTGGTGTTTGTTAAGATGGGTCAGTACAGTGATGCTATTACATCATTTGAGCATATCATGGGGGAGAAACCTGACTTCAGAACGTCATTCAATCTCATCCTGTGTTACTTTGCTATTGGTGATCGTGATAAAATGAAGAGAAGTTTCCAACGCTTATTACAGGTTGATTTACATATTGATGATGAGGACAAATACTTGCCTCACCCTGTGAGTAATTGATTGTCATTGTAGTCTTCAGTGTTAACTTTTCTTGTGGTCACACTAACTTTAAATTTTAATTTGTAGTTTTTATTATTTTGTCTTTGTCAATCTTTCAAATTGCCATTTAATTAATGTTTTACTTCATATTTGTAGTGTAGTATATAATACTGAATCAGCACTGTTGAAAATTTGTGTAAACCATTTATTTGACACGCACTATATGTTGCGTGGGGACTATATCAAAGATGATTAGTGCTTCAATATTTTTATTATTTGTAATTGGATTTCTGTAAATAACACATTGATTACATGCTGTGTATTATAGGATGACCAGCATGCTAATATGGTACTGGAAGCTATCAAGAATGATACTCTGAGACAAGAAGAAAAAAAGATGTAAGTGGAAATGCAGAACAATAATTATGTGTTGAAAAAGACAATTATTAACAGTGATTGCAGTGTAAATTTGCAAAATGTTTTTTTGGAAAGTTTGAAAATCATATTAATTTTGTTCTATCAGTAGCATGTGCTTATGTGAATTACAAAAGTGTACGTCTACTGTCAAAATAAGTCACATTTGAATAATCTAGCCTGCAATACATGCAATCATTGCTATACAAGTGTTTTTAAGAAAGTAAACTCTTGAAATGTGACCACTTATCATATGAGTGATAATCCATCGTCCGTTTCAACTTTTTTCTTTTTCGATTTTTTTATCCTTTTAAAAACTACAAGCCTGATTTCTTGGTGTATATGTACCTTGGGTAGACCCCTCTCAGATTTGTTCATTTCATGATGATATCTTCAATTCACTAATTTTGAGAAATATTTTTGTCATTATTGGTAAAAAGTGATCTGGTAAACTGATTACTAGTAAAGGAACCTGTGTGGTGTTACAATTGTGTCAAACTCTTTTCATGTTTATATTTCACAGTAAAAGTGATATGGAGAGATACGTCATGGCATCCGCTAAAATAATAGCACCAGCTATTGAGCAGACCTTTGCTGCTGGCTATGATTGGTATGTATATCTAGAAATGTGTTGTCATCAGAGGAGTTGATATATGTAATCAATCACAAAAAAGCTACCTTTGGTAAAATGTTATGTCTGTCTGTAATGGGAAGATTGTAGATGGAGCAAGAATATTAATTAAAGCAGGGGAGTCATCACCTGCGCATATGTCAGATGGCCATAGCGTGTTTTTGTCTACCTATGAGCCTTTGCATTTTAGCATGTGTTGTTATCGTCACTTGAGACTCAATTCCCTCGCATGCACAGGTGACGACCCTCCCGCTTTAAATCTTCATTTACTGAAAAAAAAAATGTGTAAGGAATGTATACAAACTTGTTGACAAATCCTTCAGTTTCAAACAAACCATGTACAGCTACTATGTATAGTGTATATTTATTACTGTATTGTTAATCTTGGGTGGTCTCATCATTTGCGAGTGCCTTGGTTCACCAACGTTTTGTTGTTTATGGTGTCTGAATTAATCTTATTCCAGTCACTGGTGTTAATTGTCTCCTTTTACTGGTGATATGGAAAATGGCATGTGTTTATCATTACTTCTAGAAATGTCTTTTTAATTCCTGGCAATGTTCATTTTCTAAATATTTTCAATTAACAATTAGAGCCTAGCTGTGTCTGTTGAACCTATAAGTAAAATATGATTGTTATTCAGTAATGTGTGGCAGATAATGTATGCAAATTAATTTCAGCTACTGATGTGGTTTATCTCATAGGTGTGTGGATTGTGTAAAGTCTTCACTTTATACAGATTTAGCCAATGATTTGGAAATCAACAAAGCTGTCATGTATCTCAAACAAAAAGATACAACCCAGGTAAGAGTCAATAAATAAATATTGACCGTTCATGTGCCAAGGATATTTTTAAACAAGGGAACAGGGGCGCAGTGGCCTCATTCCATGACCATGCGCCCCCTTACCTTGGGGAGCAGATCCTTTGGCAACCATAAAATTCTGATTGACCAGGGATCACATGTGGCCACAGTCTTCAACTGTGACCTGTCTGATAGTAATTTTGGCCCCAAGGAAGCCATAGAATGTTCCATTTTAGAATTATCAAAAACACCACATCCTGGTAGGGAGAACCCTATCTCCCCTACTTTGTGGCGCCGCTGAATTGCAATGCTCCCTCTTGCAGTTTTTTTCTAGAAAAAACCCTGATGTGCTATGCTGTCTCTCAATCTGATTCATTTTACATAGACCCCATATGATGTAAAAAGAGCTTCACCTTTGTGAATTTGTCTGTTGTTTCTGAGTGCGTGTATGTTTTATTGTGTTTTACCAAAAATTAAGTATTCTGTATTAAATGCGTTGTCCCATCGTCACACAGTTACAATTGCTCTCATCAATTTTTTTCTGTTATGATTTTTAGCTCCGCTGTCGACTTTGTCGAGCGGAGCTTATCATATGAGTGATTGTCCGTCGTCGTCCGTGTCAATGTTTTACATTTTCGACTTCTTCTTGAAAACTACAAGTCTGAATGCTTTGATACTTGGTGTATATGTACCTTGGGTAGACCTCTCTCAGATTTGTTCATTTCATGATCATATCTTCAATTCTCTAATTTTGGTGAATATTTTTGTCATTTTTGGTATAAAGTGATATTTTCAACTTCTTGTTAGAAACCGCAAGTCCAATTGCTTTGATATTACATATATAGGTACTACATGTGGACCACTCTCAAATTTGTTCATTTCATAATGATATCTTTAAT